TATATATACAGTGGGTAAAAAAAGTATTTAGTCAGCCACCAATTGTGCAAGTTCTCCCACTTAAAAAGATGAGAGAGGCCTGTAATTTTCCTCATAGGTATACCTCAACTATGAGAGACAAAATGAGAAAATAAATTCCAGAAAATCACATTGTAGGATTTTTAAATAATTTATTTGCAAATTATGGTGGAAAATAAGTATTTGGTCAATTGCAAAATTTCATCTCAATACTTTGTTATATACCTTTTGTTGGCAATGACAGAGGTCAAACTTTTTCTGTAAGTCTTCACAAGGTTTTCACACACTGTTGCTGGTATTTTGGCCCATTCCTCCATGCAGATCTCCTCTAGAGCAGTAATGTTTTGGGGCTGTCGCTGGGCAACACGGATTTTCAACTCCCTCCAAAGATTTTCTATGGGGTTGAGATCTGGAGACTGGCTAGGCCACTCCAGGACCTTGAAATGCTTCTTATGAAGCCCCTCCTTCGTTGCCCGGGCGGTGTGTTTTGGATCATTGTCATGCTGAAAGACCCAGCCACGTTTCATCTTCAGTGCCCTTGCTGATGGAAGGAGGTTTTTACTCAATCTCACGATACATGGCCCCATTCATTCTTTCGTTTATACGGATCAGTCGTCCTGGTCCCTTTGCAGAAAAACAGCCCCAAAGCATGATGTTTCCACCCCCATGCTTCACAGTAGGTATGGTGTTCTTTGGATGCAACTCAGCATTCTTTCTCCTCCAAACACGACAAGAGGAGTCTTTACCAAAAATTTTTATTTTGGTTTCATCTGACCATATGACATTCTCCCAATTCTCTTCTGGATCATCCAAATGCTCTCTAGCAAACTTCAGACGGGCCTGGACATGTACTGGCTTAAGCAGGGGGACACGTCTGTCACTGCAGGATTTGAGTCCCTGGCGGTGCAGTGTGTTACTGATGGTAGCCTTTGTTACTTTGGTCCCAGCTCTCTGCAGGTCATTCACTAGGTCCCTCCGTGTGGTTCTGGGATTTTTGCTCACAGTTCTTGTGATCATTTTGACCCCACGGGGTGAGATCTTGCGTGGAGCCCCATATCGAGGGAGATTATCAGTGGTCTTGTATGTCTTCCATTTTCTAATAATTGCTCCCATAGTTGATTTTTTCACACCAAGCTGCTTAGCTATTGCAGATTCAGTCTTCCCAGCCTGGTGCAGGTCTACAATTTTGTTTTTGGTGTCCTTTGACAGCTCTTTGGTCTTGGCCATGGTGGAGTTTGGAGTGTGACTGTTTGAGGTTGTGGACAGGTGTCTTTTATACTGATAACGAGTTCAAACAGATGCCATTAATACAGGTAACGAGTGGAGGACAGAGGAGCCTCTTAAAGAAGAAGTTACAGGTCTGTGAGAGCCAGAAATCTTGCTTGTTTGTAGGTGACCAAATACTTATTTTACAGAGGAATTTACCAATAAATTCTTTAAAAATCCTACAATGTGATTTTCTGGATTTTTTTTCTCATTTTGTCTCTCATAGTTGAGGTATACCTATGATGAAAATTACAGGCCTCTCTCATCTTTTTAAGTGGGAGAACTTGCACAATTGGTGGCTGACTAAATACTTTTTTTCCCCACTGTATTTATAATAGTAGAATATAAATATGTCATGAATAATATAAAGAAATATAGGTAGCACTTTACAAGGAGGCCCTAAAAAGACTACATTTAAATGAGCAATATATCTGCTTCAGTGTTTATTAACCTTTGCATTAACGTTGGTTAATAAAAATACAACTGTTCATTTTAGCTCAGGCCCTTTAAATAATATTAAAAGATACTTTTGATTGTAATCATGTTTTTGTGAATGTTGAAATTAACTAAGATTAATAAATGCTCTAGGAGTGTTCAAGTTCATGTCAAATTGTAGTTAAATAATGTTAACAAATGAAACCCTTTTGTATAGTACCCCAATGTATAATGTTATAAATAAATAATATATAAATAATGTTTCAGAATAGTATTTTTTGACTGAGTAACCAGAAATGTGTTCAGAAAACTGGTGAGTTAAGCACCACTAAATATATGTTTCTGCTATTGGCCAACATGTTTTATTGATACCAACAGCAGTTAATAACAAACTCATATCAGACAACCACTAATAATTATGACAGAAGATTTATTTTTTGTCAGCGAGTGTTTAATGAGCTCATAATAGAAGCTTCTGAAGTTCCTGTTACATCTGACTCTGTCATCAGGACTCTGGAGGGGTCAGGGCCGGTGGTTCACGAGCGCCGCTCTCAGACTCTTCCTGTGTCCCGCAGCAGGACAGGAGCTCTACATATGAGACTGCAGCAGCTCAACAGCCTGGACAACTCCTACACCTACAACCACAGTGAGACACACACACATCCAGCTATTACATCTGCAGCTCTCTTTAGTCTTGGAATAAAAGACAAGAAATGAAAGCTTCCTTCTGTTTTAATATTTAATGTTGAAAGAAATGGACTTAATTTATGAGGTCAAATTAAATAAAGTTTTTTTTTTTTAGAGAAAATTAATGAAAATTAGCCAAAAATGTGTTCAGCCTCAGGCCATCCAAGATGTAGATGAGTTTGTTGCTTCATCAGAACAGATTTGGAGTCCAAACAGCTGATAAAAACATCACAATAATCCACACCACTCCAGTTCATCAATTAACATCTTGTGAAGTGAAAAGTGTTGTAATAAAGCTTTGTAATAAACAAATCCATCATTAGGACATTTTTCTGGCTAAAATATGAGTCCATAATAACACTTCCTCTAGTGAAAAACTTAATCCCCCATTGTTTTATCACATTAAAATCCACTGTCATATTTGTTTAGAGCTGTTTTCAATCTAGACAGTGCTTGATCTGAGCATATTTATCTAGACGAGACGAGATTACTTTTCCACTGGAGAAAGCATTATTATGGATAAAGTATTTTAGCCGGAAGCAATGGTTTGAACTTACTTATACATATTAATGATGGATTTGGTTATTACAAACACACCTTCACAAGATGTTAATTGATGGACTGGAGTAGTGTGGATTACTTGTGGATTATTGTGATGTTTTTATTAGCTGTTTGGACTCTCAATCTGACGGCACCCATTCATTGCAGAGCATCCATTGGATGGGCAAGTGATGTAATGCTACATTTACATTTTACATTTATTCATTTAGCAGACGCTTTTACCCAAAGTGACTTACAATTGGGGAAAACATCAAGCGATTCATCTTAAAGAGGCAAATAGACAGGAAATGTTCATAATACTAAGTTTCAAGCATCGTTCAAATAAGTACAAGCTAGATAGGGAAAGATTAAAGAAAAGAGAAAACTAAGTTTTTTTGGTAGGATGAAGTCAAATAGTGATGAAAAAGATGAGTTTTCAGCTGTCGCTTGAAAATGTTCAGGGAATCATTCCGGATGGGGGTGGGAAGATCATTCCACCAGCCAGGAACAGTGAACGAAAATGTTCTGGAAAGTGATTCTGTGATGGCACCACGAGGCGTCGCTCACTAGCGGATCTCAGACTTCTGGAGGGGATGTAGATTCGTAGTAGTGAGTGGAAGTAGGCGGGTGCTGAGCCTGTGGCTGTTCTATATGCAAGCATCAGTGTCTTGAACTTGATGTGAGCCGCAACCGGTAGCCAGTGCAAGGAGATAAAGAGAGGCGTAACATGGGCTCTTTTGGGCTCGTTAAAGACCAGTCGTGCCGCTGCGTTCTGAATCATTTGTAGAGGTTTGATTGTGCTTGATGGAAGTCCAGCCAGAAGAGCATTGCAGTAGTCCAGCCTAGAAATGACAAGGGCCTGGACAAGAAGTTGTGCAGCATGCTCCGTTAGGAAGGGCCTGATCTTTCTGATGTTGTGCAATGCAAACCTACAAGATCGAGCAGTCTTTGCAATGTGGCCTTTGCAGGTCAACTGGTCATCAAAGATTACAGCAAGATTTCTGACCGGACTTGATGGGGTAATTGTTGATGAACCTAACTGGACGGTGAAGTCATGCTGTAGAGTTGGAGTGACAGGGAAGACAAGAAGCTCAGTCTTTGCCAGGTTGAGCTGTAGGTGTTGTTCTTTCATCCATGCCGAGATGTCCGCCAGGCAGCCTGAGATCCGTGCAGCTACGGTTGGATCATCTGGTTGAAATAAAAGATAGAGCTGTGTGTCATCAGCATAGCAATGGTAGGGGAAACCACGTGCCTGTATTATGGCTCCCAGTGATGTAGTGTATATGGAGAAGATGAGAGGTCCCAGAACTGATCCCTGAGGAACCCCAGTGGCCAGTTGATGTGCTTTGGATACCTCCTCACCCCAGGCCACCCTGAAAGACCTACCAGAGAGATAGGATTCAAACCAGTGAAGTGGAATCCCTGTGATGCCCAGTGATGAGAGAGTGGACAGGAGGATCTGATGATTCACAGTGTCAAAAGCAGCAGATAGATCCAGCAGAATAAGAACTGATGATTTGGAATCAGCTTTTGCAATCCGCAGGGCTTCAGTGATTGACAGTAGCGCAGTCTCAGTTGAATGGCCACTTCTGAAGCCTGACTGGTTAGGATCCAGTTGGTTGTTCTGTGAAATAAATAATGATACCTGGTTAAAAACAACTCGTTTGAGTGTTTTTGCTATGAAAGGAAGGAGAGAGACAGGTCTGTAGCTATCTATAAATTAAGTGTTTAATGTAGGTTTTTTGAGCAGTGGGGTTACCCGAGCCTGCTTGAATGCAGTGGGGAAAGATGCTAGATTTCTCCAAATCTGTTCTGGTGAAGAAACAAACTCATCTCTAATCATTTCTTTAAGACAAATTTAATAGAATTTATAGGCAAACCTCAATAAATTCAAATGTTAACAGCATTAAATCTATTGACAGCCATACAACATTCTCATTTTTTACTTTCATTCACAGTTATTTGTTGTACTAATTTACTATTATTCTGACCTCACAGCACATAGAGCAGCTCTCAGATCAGCTGTTATAAGACCCTTCCACATTTCTGTGTGTGTGTGTTTGTAGATTACAGTCATTCAGATGCTGATGTGTTGAATCAGTCTCTGTTGGAAGGAAATATTGCCACAGAAGTTTGTCTAACAGTTCTGGACACACTGAGCATCTTTATCATGGGCTTTAAGGTCAGACATCAGCCATCATCATAATCATCATCATCGCAATCATGAGTGGTGTTTGTTCGCTTTATTCCTCACTGATAACAGTGTGTGTGTTTATATGTGTGTTTGCTCTCAGACTCAGCTGAGTTTGGATCACGGCCACAATCCCCTCATGAAGAAAGTCTTTCAGGTTCATCTCTGCTTCCTACAAATCAACCAATCAGAGACGGCCCTCAAACAGGTCTTCACTTCTCTTCGCACTTTCATCTACAAGGTGAGTGTGACAATAGAATAAGCACATAAATCAATGGCTACTAAAAGGACAGTCCATCCAAAAATGAAATATCTGTCATCATTTACGAGGGCCCTATGATTTTGTGGAGTGGAAAATACAGATAGAATCCAGTCATAAATTGCATAATGTCACAGAATTTGGCAAATTTTGGATGAATAAATCAAAAGTGGGGTTGTACAATTTATCAAATTGCAATATGTACTAGTGTCTGTGAAAATTAAACTGTGAAAGACATGCATTTCTGCATGTCTCTGTGTGAGTGAGTGTTGCAGTACAACAATATTGTACTTCTACTATACAACATTACACAATAATAATAATAATGAAATTATTAAAACCTTTTTTAAAGGAATATTTCAGTGTTTTAATTTACAATTTTTACAGTAAACTTCTGTTGTTCAGCACTTTGTTTGCCTAAAAATCAAATGAATTGTTGAATTTTCATTTGATAATATTTGAAAAGGTTAAAAGATTATTAAAAAAAATTATGTTCAAATGTAATTTATTCCTGTCTTGCAAAGCATCAATTACTCCAGTCTTCAGTGTCACATGATCTTTCAGAAATCATTCTGAAGCATATAATATTATTATAGATAATAACAGTTGTGCTGCTAAACGTTTTTTATTAAATAGTACTTTTTCAGGATTATTTGATGAATAAAACGTTTTTAAAAAATGGCATGTATTTGAAATAGAATAAAAAACGAATTTACCCCAAATTTGTATAATTTAATATCACACACACACACACACAAATATTACTTTAGCAAATTACACAATATAAGCATTGTCAGTAGTTTTTTATCTGTGATTTTTATGCATTACAGATTCATTCAAAAAGGTTTTGGATCAATAGATCCGGATCTAGTTCTAGCTTGTTCTGGGGAAAATACAGTTCTACACAGACTCATACTCTGACATTTACACATTCACACACAGTCACTCGTCCCCTTCCTTCTCCCACAGAACACAGCATTCCCATCTGAGGTGAAAGACTTGACCAAGAAGATCCGCACTGTTCTGATGGCCACGGCTCAGATGAAGGAGCACGAGAGAGACCCCGAGATGCTGGTGGACCTGCAGTACAGTCTGGCCAAATCTTACGCCAGCACTCCTGAACTCCGCAAGACGTGGCTGGATAGCATGGCCCGTATCCATGTGAAGAATGGAGACCTCTCTGAGGTACATCACACACAGTCACACACATCTTCGTGTATGTTTAACTGTGAAGCTAATGTTCTCTGGTTTGGTTCTCTTCAGGCAGCCATGTGTTATGTGCACGTAGCAGCGCTGGTGGCCGAGTACTTGAGGAGGAAAGGTTAGACACACACACAAACACTTGTGATGATGCTATTATAGTCTAGGGCAGTGTTTCCCAACCGGGGTGCCGTCTGTCGAGAGCAGGGGTGCCGTGTAAAAAATCCTTTTTTAATATTTTTAAATTGCTAAAATGTTCAAAAAAGCATCTATTATATAATATCCATTTCTGATGTCGCCAATAATTAGACATGCACAGAAATTCCGGCTGCTGAAAATTTGTTCACCGAAAATTAGTTTCACTTTCACGTGGTGTGACGCTCTGCGTGTTATCCCGCTCTATGCGTGTGCGCTCCGCTCAGTCGCTCCACTCGTATACCGTTCATGCTCATCGGAAACCGCAAAGTCCACTCGAAAAACAAGCCGACAGGAATCATCGATGTAGTACAGTATTGTTCTGTCTGCAATAGCCCTACTGTGCTGTAACATGGTGTGTTATATGGGCATCTCTGGTAACGCTGCCCTCTCATTCATTGATCTGCTAACCGCATGTTATGCTCATGTGTCCTCTGATAATAATATAGCTTTCTAGGACTAAACATTATTTGGATAATTGGAAAAAAAAAAAAAAAAAAAATATCTCTTAATAGCCCTACTGTTAGACCTGAAAAACTAAAAAACAATTTATTTAATTTGTAGGCCTGCCGTTATTTTTTATTTGTGCTATCATTATTAATTTCTTTATTTGTTCTTATTTTATTACTGACTGGTTACTTGTCATTTTTTATTCAATTCAAAGTTTGAAATCAAGCTATCTCGTGCTACTGCAACAAAATTACCCAACTGTAAAATCAAAAATACACAGAGTGAGCAAACATTTGTGAGATATTGAGATATAACCGATGAAGTTATAATGGTAATTAAACAATGTTTACATATGAATAAAAGCCTACATTAAAATGTCAAATAAATTGCTCTCCTCATTAGAAATTAGCATACTGATTGCCTCCATGGACAAAAAAAATTTATAATATTAAAAATATCTGACACACATATATATATATATATATATACACATATATATGAAACATTCTGCAGTTCTTCCCTGCTGTACCAAATATTGATACTTTTCAAAGTATCATATTGAAGTTAGAAATTCAAATATTGTGACAAAATTAATTTTGTAGGGTGCCACAAATTTGTTAAAATTTCCAAAGGGTGCCGCGACTAAAAAAAGGTTGGGAAACACTGGTCTAGGGATTGTCAACTTTAGTCGTGGAGTTGAGAAAAGAGCAATTTAGAGAACAACAGTGACCTACTGGAGAATTCTAGAAGTATTTTTCCATTGGGATAATAAACATTTGTCAATAAAGAGTTGTAAGCCTTGAAACACACTAAGCATCTCTGAAATAAAACGTTTAGGAATCAAAGCATACTTTCAATAAACATTAAATAAATATTAAAATAAAAAATAAAATGTATAATATAAATAAAATATATGTTATTTCACATAAATCACATAAAAAATACTTGTTGATCACTTTAGTAACAGGGTTAAATGTTTACACTAGAGTTCAAAATCTTGGGGCCTTTTTCTATTCATAAAAATGTTCTCTTCATTAAAAAAATCCTGAAAATGTATTTATCGTTCCGCAAAACATTGGTAATAATTAAAAATGTTTCTTGAGCAGCAGATCAGCATATTAGAATGATTTCTGAAGGATCGTGTGACACTGAAGACTGGAGAAATGATGCTGAAAATTCAGCTTTGATCACAGGAATAAATTTTACACAAAATTTTTACTGTATTTCTGATTAAATAAATGCAGCATTGGTGAGCATAAGAGACTTCTTCCAAAAACATTATCCTTACAAAAGCCTTACAAACCCATTTTTTTAAAATGGAAGTACAGTATTTGTTATGGGTTTAAGAAAATAAAATTATATATATATATATATATATATATATATATATATATATATATATACAGTGGGTACGGAAAG